CAGGGAGCCCTGGAGTCCTCCCTACTCCAGTTGTGCTGCAGCGGCCTAGCAAGGCCCAATCTGACCTTCACTTTCTTACTTGGTCCGGTCTAGTCTGTAGTATTCTAACCCCGCCTCTGGCTTCAAGACCACTGCTGTTAACCACCAATTAAGAGAATCCTGTGTTTTGTTCTTGGGGTAGAGGCATCTTTTTCTGCCTCCTTCAAATCACAATCCATTTGCTGAGAACGCTTTCCCTAACACCACTGTGTATCAGTCCTGTCCAATCTAACCTCTCACCAACTGATGCTTTTTTTAAATCACCTACAATGTAAACCATGGCACAGCACAGAGCAAGAATCAAAAGGAAAGAAAAGAGGGGAAGAAAGAGGAACGAGCGGAAGGACTTTCTTTCTGAACCTTTGGAGTATTCCTTAACATTGTCTAATGAACTTACAGAAAACCTTACAGCATTATCTAGTCAGACCTAATGATCCCTTAAGAATAAAGCATATTATGTGAGCAGTGCAGTGCAGGGGTAGTTTTTTTAGTATGTGTAAGATTCTGGATTCGGTTCCTAGCACCAATAAATAAATCTCATTCATCCTGTTAATACAGAACCGAGTATGAGGCGGAAATATGTCCTAGGACATGTTTCAAAATGGCTGCACAAAGGAAGATGCATAATCTCTAAATAGCTAATTCTTTGTGTTCTCAGTGGAATTCTTGGCAAATAGAGAGTGATAGGAGTAGCCAGAGGTACCCACAGCCCCAACATTTCTCCCACTGAAATCAGAGGTGTGAAGGCACAGGTGATGACCAAATTGTTCCCCTTTCACATTAGGAAGGAGGAGAGAAAGAAGAAACCTTGTAACTCGTGGATCTACTCAGACTTGGGCCACTGTGATTCTCCTTAAGAAGTTCCCTCCAGAGGAAATGTCTTGAATGTTTCAGTCTTGGCTGGAGGGCGAGATGACCCAAGGCAGACACGGCATGAAGGCCACAGGACACGGCATGAAGGCCACAGGACACGCCACGAGACACAGGGCTGGGTGAACAACAAAAAAGGGGTGGAGACAGCGGAGAGGGGAGCTGCTTTCTCTGAATCTTATCTTTTCTGGAGAAATCAAGACAAAACCTCCAGATAAAAGGCCTGCTGTGACAGCTTCATGTCCTGCCTTCCCGTACAAATACCAAAGAAATGTCTATTCTTTAACAACCTGTTTCTGAATACACTGTGCAGCCACATGAGAAATTCAACCCAAGAAACCTTTCAAGGCAATAACCAGGAGTTTAAGGAATGTTTACATGGAAGGTGGTGGCCATCATGGTCCCTATGAAACTCCACTGACTGGAGCCAAGTTTCTCTCCCCACCACCCCACAGTAACACTTTTAGATCACAGCTGAAGAGAGAAACAGATGCCAAGTCCAGATACGAAGACATCAACGCAACAGAGGGAAGTCTGACTATTTGATACCTATAATTTATGAAATCTGAGAAGCAGAAAAACCAGGACAATGAAGTGGGAATCTCTTTGAAGGAGTTCCTGGGTGCCCAGGACCCTTTCGGAAATGACTGAATATGGAAAACTGCGTAGGACTTTTCCTGGCCAGACACAGGAAAAGAGCTCTCTGCTCTTTCTGCCAGTCCTTACCAGAGGAATCTGAATTGTTCCTGACCTAGTTACAGAGTCAGAGATGCTCCAAGGAAGGAGGGAGAGACGCTGATTTACAGATGAAATAGTACAGCAAGGAAACCAAAACCACCTGATACCAGATACCGGCAAAGGACATTCAGAAACATTCCTTAAATTCCCAAGAAACACTCCTATCTGGGAGAAAGGAATGTTCCGGGAGTCTTTGGTCAGAATTACCCTAGGGAAGGGCTTGTTATTTCACACACAGCTGGTGCAGCCCCTCTGGCACCTGTTTATTCTGATGTTACTACTACAGCTTTCCTCTCTGCTGAGGAGAAAACAGAATACAACAAAATACTGTCAGATACTCCTTAGGGCACAGCTCTGATGATATTGATCAGAAACACGAACAAAAGTCCTTTCATTGAATATTTGCTATCAGGCAACCAGGCTGCTGAGGTCTTTACATGAGTTATTCTAGTAAACTGCTAAAAATACTTATGCCTACCTTAGACAAAGTGGAAACTGAGGCAGAAGTCAGAAACGTCTCGGGTCACACTGGTGAATCCACATCACCACTTATCAAATCACTGACCCACATAAATTCCAACACCTCTTTAACCCAGCATTTAAGACTCTGTAGACCACACCTCCTACTTCACTGGCTAGCGTCTGTTATGTGATTCCTCTGTAGCAGTAGACTTCTCCTAAGAGCTGTCTGGACCAAGTCTTCCATTCTTCTGTTCTCTCTCAGCCTCGCTATGCTCATCCTTACCCCTTTGCCCAGGGTGCTCTACAAGGTCCACAGGACTTCCACCCAGCTGCACCCAGTGCTGGGTTCTTCACTTCTCCTCATTTGGCTCCTGACATGGGCGCCACGCTCTTCTCCTTGGTGCCTTTTCCTCACTTTGCTTCTGGTTCACTATGACCTCTTGCTTATCTCAAAGGTTACATCTTTCCCATCTCTTTGCTGGCTCCTCCTCCTCCTCTTCGTACCACAGTGCTGGGCTTTGGATAGTTGTTCGACACCCACCTTCAGTCCCTTAGTGATCTCTGGCATGCTTATGCTAAAGTGGAAATTTCACTTGCATAGTGATGACTCCACCTCACCCAAACTTCTGCTCATGTAGCTGCTATAAAACATGGCCAATTGGGTGTCAGAAGGCACCTCAAATTTACTGCATTCATGATGAACTTCCTGTGAGTAATTCCTTCCCTACTCTGTCAAGTCAAAATTCTTGTGGTTATCCTTGATTAAAAACGCCTTCTCTCCCAGCACCGGGAAGGCTGAGTCAGAGGATCACCAGGAGTTTGAGGCCAGCCTGAACTATAAAGTGAGATCCTGTCTCAAAACATGAATGAAAGCATGTTACCTTTCCTACCAGGAACCTGACAGGTTCTGCCTTCATTCATGGAGTGAGGGCCACTTCTTCGCACTTCAGCCGCTCCGCTCCCATCAGTGCTCAATTTTACTCTCACAAATGTCCTGATTTGAACATCAGTTTATCACTGCCCTGATCTAAGACCTTTGGATCTTAGCCCTGACCCAGGCATTTTCTCTGGGACCTCATCGAATATGTTCACTGGTCCTGAGGTGTTGGTGGTATTTTCAGTCAAAGCACATTCCTGCTTGTCCTTAAATGTCCCCTCTGTCTTCCAGATATTCAAATGGCAAGTTTCTCACTTCCTCTTGGTCGGTAGTGAGTTATTGGCTATTCCACGTGATTTCTTGTGACCGAGAGATGGAGGGACAGGGACGGCACACAAATGAAGAGGTGCCAACTCCCCATAAGGAGTAGAATTACATGCTGCCAATAATAAAAAGTATTAATAAGATCCTTTGTTTAATTCTGTAATGAGCCCATCCCATTTACTTTGCTCATCATTGTCTGCACTGCATTTACCCTGTTTCAACATATTCTATAATTTGTCACATTTTGTGTCCCTTTGCTAACATATGAACCCTGTGGAATCATGTTTTCTTTATTCATGGAGAAGAACATGCCTGCATACGTCGGTGTCCAGGACCCTACAAAGTTCTGGTCTCAGACTTCCCTCCTATTCCTTCACCGGCTCGCTGCCTTGCCTGTTTTGTCATAACCCTTCTGGGTGAACCAGACATTGCCAATGGTCTCTCCTCCCTCCCTCCAGGGGTTATGGACAAAGGCAGACTAATACTGCACACTGAACGTAGAAGCTGACACAATTATTGCAACTTCAGAGCAAGAAATCCAGAATTCCCTACCTGCCTTTGCAGATCCAGGGCCCTGAGTGCCAGCCACTTACCCAGGAACTCAGGTTCAGTTCAAAACCTCCTGCATTTTAGAGTCGGAGAGAATCCCTGACCAACACTGCCACCTGCTGATAAGAAGGTGAGAAATCAAGACAATCCGTGTCAACCAGTTTTTAAAAAAACTAGCAAGGAACAATAATGAAAAATGCTGTGAAGTCAGTAAAATAAACTACTTTTCCCAAAGAGAACCAACCAGAAGTTCACACTGAATTCTGCAGCAACATCGTGCAAAGAATTATAATGACCTCCAGAAAAGCAGCACTGCCAGAATATTAATGAAACAGTCTACTGCACCAGCGCACACTATGAGTTCAGTGGTGTAAGACTCAAAGTAAGTATGTTACTTTTCCATCTCACAGAAATACAAACAAATATTTACAAAGATTTAAAACTTTTAAAAAATCACAGTAAAAAGATTTAGGTTAATCCTTAGAACATTTATATTCAAGGCTCAGTACTATCAAATTTCTCCATTTAGGTTTTTGTTTTTCTTATCTAAATGCAATATTGTTCAATGGAAGAGTTTTGGTTATGAGTTCTGGAGTGAACTCAAAATGTCATCTTCGATTTTCTTTACCTAAATCTAGTATCTTTGTCAGGATCAAAAACCTCTTGGACTTTCTTCCCCAGCCCCTGGTTAGGTAGTAAAGAGGGTGAAAATTAGATGTTAGATGCTTCCGAAAGACATTTATTTAAATCATTATATTCATTCCTGAAGTTATACAACCCTAACATTTTTGCAAACTTTGATATTCTTTTCATCAAACCATCAATAAAACATTCTGCTAATCAAGAAAATACACATTGTTAAAATGAGAAACAGAATAAAGTTTTGAAAGTTCCCAAAAATAGAAATCTGTATAAGGAAAATCCCGAGGGAAGGAAGTTTCCCTCACTTATCTTTGAAATTTAAAAAATTACACAGGAGAAATAGGAACAAGAGCAGATATGGGTTATTGTAACAAAAATACTCTGTCAGTTAAAAATATTAAGAAAGAAGACTCACGACCACATAGGATTAAAAGAATTCAAAAAATTTAGAAAAGTATTTAATTATAAAATGTCTTTAAAAAAAAAAAAAAGCAATGGCACAAATCACCAGAAAGTTATTTAAGTGATCATATCCACAGGCTGCTGTTGTAATTAAATACTAAAAATGTATGACTGTTCTCACTAACAGCATTTTCACTCCTAATTAGAGTGGACATCAAGAGCTGCTGAGAATGTGATTTCTCTTAAAGAACTACTAGAACTACTAAAAGTATCAAACACAGTTGGTGCCCCATTCCTTTACATCACTTTTTATTTAGTATACTCCAACCTCGTAAAATATTTAACATTTATTTACAGCTCAGAGGCTTACCTCTTGTCACAATGTGACTTACGCATTAAAACCCTTTTGAATAGTCCTTTCAACCATTTCGTAAGTGTACTGTTTAAAATAAGTACTCAAGCAAAAGCTTGTTCACATGACTGCTATACCCAGATTAACTCCGCCAGTAGACTTATTTAGGAGAAAAAAAAATTTAAAACCTTGCTTTAAGAATACATTCCCCAGCCATTAGCAGACTATATTATGATGCATATTTATAAAGCTACTAGGACTATAATAAAGCTAGCGAGGACTGTTTAAACTTTGCAAGAGTACATCATGAAGTAATTTGGCTTTCACTCTCTGGCTATTGGTTATATCAGTTATTCCACGTGGGTGTGTTTTATTTATTCGTAGTAAAGTATTTCATGGTTTGGTGATAATTGGCAGTTTCTGGTGGTTTGTTTTCTTGATCTTGGATATACCTCTGTGCAAATATGTCAGATGAACTGAAAAAATGCAAATTGCCACAGTGACACAGGAGCAAAGTGTTACTTGGATGAATGACCGTAAGGCATGAATACTAACATTCTGTAGTGACAAGAATACTACACAGTGGTGTACATGCTGGCTTTACTACACGCTGGCTTTATAACTTGACATACCTTGTGTTTGTTAACTGATTTGGGTTAGAAAGCAAACTGTGTTAAGGAAGGACAGCATCTGAGATGGTAAGAAAGGATATATTACAGAATATATGATTTTAGAAGAAAAAACGGAGTGGCTAGAAAATATATTTTCACATTACACAACTGTCACATCTGCACGCCTTTTATGGCCTGTATGAAAACAGCCCCAAGCTAAGTAGGCCACCTTCCTATCCAGAAATGTTTTCTGATATTAGTAATTCACATAATTCTGGCAGCAGCACAAATCTGTACGGTTAAAGGCTCGAGGTGTGACTTTCTAACAGCAACAGCTGGGTACAGTGGAATAATAATGAGAGGCCGGCCATTTCTTTTATGTGCACTCTTGGCCCCGCAAGAGTTACTGCAGAGGTCCTTGCAGTTGTGTGTGCTTTCATCATCTTCTACGATGGCTCGGTCTTTATCACCCACTGGGCACTGGGGTTGAGCTGGTACAAGTCCTGCATGTAGGTGTCCTCGTCCAGGCAGCGCTCGCCTGCGAAAGAGATGTGCTCTCAGTTTAACACAGCTGGGGATGGGTGCAATTTCACACTCAAGCCAGTGGTTTAATCTCCGAGGGCCTGGATTTTCAAACTACTCCTTGCCCTTTCCCAGCTTCCACTGCCACACTGGAAGAGTTGGCCAAAATAGGCTGGAAAAGCCCACTGGATAATCCTTTAAATAAAGAGGTTTCGAATCAGGAAGCTGAAAATACTCTCCGCATGGGGCTTTAAATGCTTCCGTACAAACACTTAAGCACATTCATTCTCAAGATCTGAAGATAATTTGATTTTATTAACACTTAAAGAATCTTTACTAATTGATTCAACAATTCCAGATTTCTAGTGGGGTTGTGGTTGAGCAGGGCAACAAGCCCCTAAGACCTCAGCTACTTGGGAGGGCGCAGAGAGAGGGTGGAAAGTTCAAGACCAGCCTGCACAACACATCAAGACCTCATCTCAGCAAACAGATTCTCACATTTCCTGTATTCAGAGTTAAGTCTTTAGTAATGTTTTGCAGTTCCACCGCAATGCTTCTTCAAACTGTTGCCAATTACTATTTGAGATGGAATACCATTTCATTTCTCCCTTTAACCATCCCCAAGAATCAAGAAAAAAGGTTATCCTAAATTTTAAAAAATGTGAATAAGATCCATGTTAATTATAAAAGGGGAAAAGACAGAGTATGGTAAAAATTAAGTCATCTTATGTCCTAAATTATTAGGTGTGCATAGTCATAAAGCTTAGGAAACCAACCACAACACATAAGTCTTCCTTTTACTAAAAAATACGGCATCTAGTATTACATTACAATCAAAGTATTATGTGGTCTTAAATTACCTCAACTACTTCCTTTGAGTGTGCTATGATGTGACAGGGTAAGAACTAAGTACATCTTTAACCACTTCCGCTGTTGACCCTTCTAGAAGTTGAGCATCACTGTTCTAGGGAACCTGCCTCTCCTAAGGCTTGCAGAGTAGATGGATTATACAGAAGAAGCTCAAATAGAGCTTGAAGAGAAAGGGTCAGGCCATCAAAAAGCCATATATTCAGTGACTGTTCTAAAAAGCGTGTTCTATTATTTTTTCCACTCCAGATGGAAATAACCACTGTTGGCAATGTCAAATCAGCATATGGTGGAATGCAAAGAGGAAAGAAAAATGTGCTTACCAATATTTCCTCCAATTTCATACAAAAACACTTCTCCTTTCTTTAGGGTCTGGGCAACCCCACTATTAGGAATAAAACAAACTTATTAGTGTATCATCAAACAGCTTGCAAGTTAATCACTTTAACACACAGAGGGAATTCTGGCTGCTACAGAAAATTCATAACCTAGATACACTGTAATTATCTACACATTTGTATTTTCCCATCTGTTAAATGTGCCGAATAGGTAATAAAAGTGTCACACCTGTAAATTCAAATAAACAAATAGAATCATGCACCTCAAGGCAAAATAATAAATCGTTCTCTAACTTCGTAAAATTAGAAGGAAAAGTTAATGCAACATTTTAGCTGCCGATGGAGTTTTTAATATGACTCTCCACTCTGCACATGACATCCAGTCACGAAGTGTTGGCCACAGGGCGGCTGTGCTGATGGTGTGCGAGGCGGGTGGGAGAGCACAGTATTCGGCGTGCTGGCCCTTCTGACGTGAGAGGTGTGTACGCTTGACAAGGTGCAAGTGACCATTATAAAAGATTTTATTCAAGTAAGCTGCAATTATAAACTTACACTTCTCAAGCCACACACTCGTCCCCTTGAAGGGGTGAGCACTTGAGGAGGAAGATTTGTTTACACTGACTTGGATTTTGCATGATGCATGCACTTATTCAAGTTTTGCAAGCTACCCTGTAAATTTGGACAATGTTTGCTTTTATATATCAGTCCAATTTTTTTTTTTAATTAGTGATTTTCAAATTTTGGGGTAAAAGAACTACTTGGGAGACCTGCTAGAAATTCAGATCGAGGGCACAGTGTGAGAATCTGCCCTTAGCAGTCCACTGGAGCAGACTGTGATGCAGGAGGGTTTGCAGACTGCTGAAGACACGCTCTGCATATGAGGAGAAAATGGGTCCAATGTGAGCCCAATGCGGCACAGCAGCCATGCCCCACACTGGCCACAGAGCGCTCCTCTGCCTGCCCCGTTTTCGCCAGCCCTGCCTGTCCTTTGCACACCCAGCTACAGCAGTGTGCAAGAGCCCACACGCTCAAGTTCCCCTTTTGGCCTGGGTCCCTACCAACAGAGAGGACAATTTCCAACCAAGGGGTGCTTTTTTAAAAAAAATAAGGTAATAATGATTTTTACTTGTAGAATAGAACTCCACGAGGGGAGTCTGAACACTTTTGCAATGAAAAACCAAACGGAATATTGGGAAGCCTTCATTCCAAACATCGATGCTCTGAGACAGATTCTCAAGTGTTTGCATTCTTTTCCACTGTACAGAAACCTGAACTGGACTTGCGGGCACATGCAAGCCCTCACATAATGCTAATCAATAACAATAATTATGGGACAGGCATAGACCCTTCGTGGGAGACTGTTGAGTGGATGTGCAATTTAGTGTACTTATTTTTCATCATTCGTGGGTTCTTTGGCTTCCGCTGAGAAGGTGGAGAAGAATAAAGACAAAAGTTCCAACTGCCCCAATGCAGGTGCGATTTAAAAGAGAAGCTCAGGAATATGGTGGAAGAAAAGATGTATTTAAATGTTCACTGAAAACATCACTTACTATGTGACCAGGACAGTGCTATGAACTTTGTGGTCATTTTCTGAGTTAACTATCACAAGACTTTAAGCAGGTCCAGTGACTGCCCACTCTTATGTTATAAAAACTAGCCGAAGGTGAAGCAGACAGAGATAGCATGTGAGGCCCCACTGATCTGTCTCTATCAGCCCATCTTAAGCACGCAGAAAGGGCCTGAGAATGCAGGTGAAAGAGAAGCTTGCAAGACTTCCCACAGGTGGAAGGGAGGAGATAAAAGGCAGGACAGTGCCCCAGGGAGTATCGAATACTTATCTACTAACAAAGCACCAAGGGCAAAGGCTCAAATGTGAGGAGGGCAGTTATCACAAAGCTAGTACTTTCTATGATAACACAGCAACCGATAGTTCACGCTATTCCCTAAATATTACAGCCGGAGTTGAGCATATCGTTACAACGTCACAGTCCCAGCTTATCGACAAACCAGAAGTGGGGAGGATGAATGGAGCGTGGGTCCTGAAAGTTAATGTTGTACAAATAAGAGCTAGGCCCACCCAGAAAGGGCTGCTCCTGTCTAAAATAGGCTCCAGGACCACATTCTGGGAGGGGATGGGGCAACGTCCCCAGAAGGATGAAGGGCAAAAGTTGGAACCTGCGAAGCAAGGGCAGGGGTAGAGAGGCAGGGACGAGTGCATCGCAGCGGAGCCATCCTTCCGGGAGCAAAGACATCCAAGAAATCCCACGTGCTCCCAGGATTCAATCCTGACCAACTCAACTGCCCTGGGACTTTATCCAACAAAAGTGCACCCACTCCCAGGACCTGTGTATCCAGGAGAAGGGTGTAAAGGGTGCCTCAAGGCCAGATCAGAGTCCCAGCTCTGCTCGCTGTGAAAGTATGTGACCTGGCAGGTCTCGGTTTTCTTATCCGTGGAACAGAAGGATCAGGGCTGTGCTGAGTTCTGTCTCGTCCTTGTGACTGTACAGGACATTTATGCGGATTATTACCAGTAAACCTACTTCTTACTTTACCGCCATCTGTCAGCTGGACTCTTCCACTTTGTAAACCCTGAGAGAAGGCACTGTCAAGTTTACCCCGCTTCCCACACCTGCCCGAGGTCTTCCACAGAGCAGAAATGTATTAAATATTGAGGTACTTATATTAAAATTGGAGATGCTTTTGGCAAAGAACTTGACTGAAGCTTCTCCGTGTTAGAACGAGGAGAGTAAGTTCAAAGACAGATGAGAAATAGACTGTGTATGCAGTGAGATGCCAATGTTCCAGGTTTCCTTTCTTTGTAAAAAATAAAAATTTGATTTCAATAACTACAAATGGGAAGTGGCCTAAAATATGATGCCAGCCCAAATTAAGAATTTACAGGCTAAAACTGAAGACCCTGTATACTTATTAGACCCTGTAAAATTCATACAAAATGGTACTGGAAAGCACACACAGCATAGTGATCCCTAACAGGGGTTCACTCTCCCCTGTGACAGCAGAGCCAAGGGATTCACTTTTATTCTCTCTCAGTTCCTATTGTTTGTTGTTTTGAAAGTGGAACTTTTTAATTCATTACCTGTCACAGAACCGGGTTCTTTGTTTTAATCCCACTACCTGCTAGTCCATAATTTTCCTGAAAGCCTGCAGGCAGTCACCACTGCTATCCATATTCTGGGAAGGTGACTGGGTAAGTCTCATTTGCCCAGAGCTTTGCCAGCCCAAGGAAGGGACACTCAGGCTGCTCAAAACAGACTCAGCTTAAAGCCAGACTACTTCAAAAGAACTAAACTCAGTGCAGTAGTCTGTGAGGTCTCTTCTCCTGGGTGGACAGATTTGTAAGGACTCCATCAGAATTAAAAAAAAAAAAAAAGGAGGGGAAGGAAGAGGAGAGAGCAGGTGAGTTATCCCCCAAAATAATTAAAACAAGCGGCTACCTTTCTTGGCTGAGAAACCTGGCGAGTACATCACTGGCTTTTAGTTCTTCAGTTAGCTGTATTGCCATGGAAACTTTGGAGAGATGGGGAGCTTGCACTCGGATCACTCCCTGAGGAACATCAGCCTGCAAAGCAATAATCACACAGAAGAAAGCTGGCGGCAGCTGGAACGCGGAACTCTGCACGATGCATTACAGGGTAAGTGTGCTTAAACTGCTACGCATTCTACTCCACTGCATAAAACCTTAACTACTGTATAATGCAATTTGCTAAATTACATCAAACCTCAAATATCCTCTTCATGGTGATAGGGGAACTTTATAATGCCTATGCAGTGATGCTTAATTATTTTTAAAGATGCAAAGAATGACAGCCATAACCATTACTGCCATATTAAGTGCTGATTTCTGCGTATTATCTACTGGAGGGTAGTTCTTCATGTGGCAATTCATGAAACTGCGGCAGAAAAAGTCACTCTACGTATTATTGCTGTGTGTACATCTGCAAGATCTTCCCACGCGTTCACATCCCCCACCCACTTTTTGTCCTAGACTGTCTAAGAAGAAATAAAAGAGCCACGCATGTTCTTGAGTATCTGCTCACCCCTTGGTCCGTGGGTTTAAACTTCGAACTCTGCCCTGAGCACCCTGACCAATTCTAAATCCTTTGCTCATGGATTTGGAGACAGTCACAAAAGAGTTTTATATCTGTAATATCAAAATATCAGCTACAGTATTTGAAATATTAGGCGTAATTCATTCCTAAATGGTTCTGCTGAAATAAATACCAATTTATTATTTATCACCATATGTCTTAAGCAGACTTTAGAACAGCATGCACAAATTGTATTTAAAGACAATTCTCTAAATGCTACAAATATCGCATTTAATTCAACCAAAATTTACTAAGCGATTACCAAGTACTAAATAGTGTGCTAAGTTTACTTAGCTAGTAGATAACACATAAGTTCTTTATTACACAATATTATTCTTGTGCCCACCATGTCACACTTTTAATGTCTGTGGTCTTAGATTGCTTTTAACACAAAGCACACGCGTGCCACAGATGCCATTACTTTAATCCCTTTCGAAGTTCAACAAAAACTATATACCCACCCCAAGACTCAAATGGCACAGACCAAGATGGCCACGAAAGGTTTCAAATTGCTTCTCAGTAATCTGAGAGACGGACTGGGAATAACAAAGAAAAGCAGCACTGTAGCAGGTGCCCAGGGATCACGGGAGGGGGGGGCGGGACCCTGGCTTCGGCTCCCACCAGCTTCCAGTCCAGCCTGGAGCCGTGGCTTGGTGTCTTGACTTCTACTTCCCGGGTTATGTGACCTGCCCTCTTGACTTCAGTCTCTGACCTTGACCTTTGTCCCCACTCTGAGAGATTACATTCATTTGCTAACAAACTGGAAAATGACCTGCTGCCTGCCCTGGACAAGCATTTCCTGTGGTGGGGCTGCTACCGCATCCTTTCAGAGCAGTTCTAAATCAGGGGCTTTCTGAACTCCTCCCTTGGGGTGGATCTCTAGTTATTTCCTAGTCTGGCCATTCTGCCTGCTGGCTTGGCCTCCACGATCGGTTTCCTTCATAGGAAGCAGAATACAGTAAGCGCGTGTGGACAATTTTAATGGCAGAGTGAAAACAGACAGCAACACTAAAGCACAGCCACTTTGTAAGCCCCCACCCCCTTGTCTACTCAGGGAAGGCAACGAATTCCCTGATTACAACGTTTCGGATCCTGAATACAAGCTCGAGTTCCAGGATAGCTACGTACTTTAAATTGATTTTAAGTCAGAAACTCCTGGTTATGACAGTATCAAATAGTCTTACTATTACTCTCAGCCTTATATATAACAAATTTTTTCCCATAATTACCTCTTACTTAACCTCAGAACATCAAAAAACAAGTCAAATCTATGCTGAAATTTAAGGTGAACAGAATGTAAGGTTTTCTGTTCAGTCAGTCCACAATAAATGATTGACAAAACCAAAATGACCCAGAAAAGTAATGTATCACAGCAAGGTCAGGGATGTGGCAACCTTAGTGTGCTGCCTGCCTTGTTCTCCACTCCTCTTTTTGGTGTATTTTCCTGTTTGGGTTTCTTGTTTAAAGAACAGATTCACTATGTACACATGCTGTGTATGCTCTACTCCCCGGATGGATAGCTGTCTCCCCACTATCCATGTCCCAAGGCTCATCTTCCAGGTGCACATGACCATCCCTTCCACGGTCCACAGGATCCAAAGGAATGGGTTCCACTGGATCTCCCTGAGAATGGTGATCCTCACCCACTGTTCCCATATTCTAGTTCCAAGTCACATCTGTAGCCACACCTCAATGGCAACTGAATAAATGAATCACTTAACCATATTTTCCCCTAACAGTAATAGGTTAACGATAGTAAAAATTTCTCTAGAGAAGAAAGTATACCAATATGCCTTTCTTATTGGCAAAAAAAGTTTACACATAACATCTAAAAGAAATAATGTCTTGGTATCCAGTGCAGAGAAAAGGGGCAGGGGACAAAAGGAACTAAAGACTCTGCAAGAGATAATCCAGTCATTTTTCTCCTGCAGGAAGGCACCTGCAGAGTGGGTAGCCCCTCTTTCCACCTAAAAGTTCACAAGAAGAGCCTAGGTCCTCCACTAACAGGAGGCTGCCTCTCTAAATGAACTCAGGACCTAATCTAAGTGATCTCCTCAGAGATCAGGACCTTGAGGAGGGCAGCCAGCTCCCTCAGGAAACAGCACAGAGCTCAGTGTGCTGTCAGGACTTCTGAGAGCGCCGCCTCTGACACAGATCCAGAGAATGGGCTGGGGTATAGCTCAGTGACAGAGCATGGGCTCCATGCATGTGGGTCAATCCCTAGCACCGCCACCAAAAAAAGAAAAGAAAAACTGACTCTTTCTTATAGGAGTTTAAAAGGAAGAGTCCAGGCACCACCTTCTGCAGCCAGTACAGGGTTCTCTTGGATCTGTAAGATGTTAGGAAGTGGACATACAATGGGGCCCAGGTGTGAGTCTTGGCCAACCGGCAGTGGCATGGGCATTCCCCCATAGCTTTCTCATGGTTTGGGTTAAGATATTTTCCCTCACTGAGCAGATGATGAGGCTAGGCCAGCTTAGAGTCAAGGCTTAATACTCCCCAAACCAAACTATTGGCTACAAATGCTGCTTCACTTCACACAGTGTTCCCAATGCCACTGAGCACCCTTTCACTGGGCTGACAATGCATATGGTGTCTGCTTATATACTGACCATGCACGTTCTCATGTAAGCAGAGAACTTGTATTCCAACAAGATATATATGGGTGTCTACGAGATTAAAACAAAATCAAATCCCAGTTTGTTTAATGTAACCCTGTCTAGATTCTCCCAGCAATATTGAGATTGAGAATCCAAGTCAATATGACTGCACCAGACCTTCACACCTTTGGAGGAGAAAAAGAGTTAAGCTAGGAGACATAATGGTACAGACGGACAGCTTTAAAGTTGTTTCTTGAGTTGCTTCTCTGCGGAGTATATTGGCAAGGAAGGCCCAATGACAGTCACGTAATGATGATAATAAATGATGCCAAAACTCTCATTTAAACAGCGTATGACAACACAGTCAAGCTCCAGAATCAGGCTATATCGAATATGAACACTATTCGTACACTCGTTACACTGAGCTGCCAAGCTTTGAAAAGACACGATACGCCCAGTCACTAAGCCACACCGTCCATTCTTAAGCCATAATCATAGATGAATCTGTACAAAGCAGCATCTTTGTGACCTTCTGATTTCATGTTTCCTGACTTAACGTCTGGGACACTGTGTCCCTTGCTTTGTGGGGGATAGAGTGGTACACTTGGGAACTCAGGCTATATCGTTTATAGCAGGACTGGAGAAATATGTAACACCATTAAAGATTAATCACCAAAGATTTTACTTAAAAAATGTTAATTTAAGATCATCTGTTATAGAGTTCATGTTTTACATATTGAACTAAGATATGCTTCTTAATATCTAATTTTATTTCTCGTATTTGCTTAAACAATGATTTTAGTTGATTTTAGTATTTTACATTAAGCGTAGCACTGCTCAGATTTTTGCCCCCTAGAAGTTTAATGTCAGACTTTTGGAAGAGGCATTAATTTCTTCTCTTTTATTAAAGCCCTTATTTAAATGTAAAGCTGACATTTTTAATGCCTCAAAAAACTCCCTTTAATCTTCAAAAGGGCAAAATGGAAATACAGCTTTCTCAGAAAGGCAGCCCGGTAAAATGCCTTAGAAAATTAAAGGACATTTTAGCAAGGTATCTTAAACTAGAACGGCAGTCTCCCCAGTTTGAAGGGGTAATACCATACCAGGGGTGGGTGACACAGTCTTGTGTCTGTGTTCTGATTGATAGGGTCTTTGTCATCAAAAGGTCTTAAGCTTCTATCCCACTCACAGATTCAAAGCCATAAGGAAGGCCTTAAATAACTTCTACAGTTAATAAGCATTTCATTTCCAATGACACAAGATGATATTTTCCATATCGATTCCCAAATAAAACCAGAGACCATTCACGGACACAAGGCCGATTCTTAAAATAGTATCTGTGACAAGAGTCATGAAGAGGAGCTGCTGTAGGACTCCAGAGGTGGAACTCTGAACAGAGCCGTGGTTCCAGGCCTGTGGTTAGCTAGGCCAGGAACAACCCAGAATCTATACCCCCACAGCCAGGGAGCAACAGATTTCTTGTCCAGAACGTTAATGTCACAAGGTCATTCTGGAACTTTGAGTAAGTCACAAACTCCCTCAGAGTCCTCGAGGTCCCCTTGGGATGAAGCACAGGTCCTCCAGCATTAACACTGAGATTAACCACATGATGAGAGCTTTTGTTTCCGGGCCCAGGCCCGTCAGAAATGTAGAGTAGCACAGTACATTTCACAGACTCCCACACAGCCCCTCTGGGCCCACATGCCCTAAAGAACACACACCTTCCTGTTGGAAGTCAGCTTGAACGGTGAGGGAAACAGCACACACACCAGAGCCTCAGAAGCTGGCCGATTCTGCTGTTCACGAATAATTACCCCTCCCACAGCCCCACGTCCTCATCAGAGAGATACAATCTGAGATAACTGTGGGCAGAGTGGGATGTCTGACTTTCTTCATAATACAAATGGGGGGGAGATGTAGGGAACAGGATGGGACTAGATCAGAAAAGTGTAGGTGATGGTGGGAGTCCACATCCTATTTCTACTTCTGTGTTAGAAAATGCCACAGAGTAATTAAATATACACCTGCACATATAGCAAATTGTAGGAGAGGGCAGCTACTGCTACAATTTTTAATATCATGCACAGATTTAGGTCTTGCCAAGGGAGGTTGACTCAGTGACCCCAAAGAATGTTCTAGAAATGGTGGTTTTTAAATGTTTCTATTGGAAAATTCTGCCTAAGCATCATTAACGTCATCCTACCTAATCATTAAAAAATATCTAAAGCCAAGAGAGAAAATGACTGTAACACACGAGTGACTGCTATACTTGCACTTATGTGCATGTGGTTTTGAGTGTGTGTGTAAATACAAACAAATTAAATGCTATCAGAAAAATGGTTATTTTTAATGATCTATGGGTTTTTCCCCAATTTTTTCTTCCTGCTATAATAAGACTTAATATTTGAGAATGTCTACATTTGCAGCAAACAGTTAATATGCTACAGTCATTAAAAACAGTTGTCTTATTAGGCAAATGGAGTGTGTCTTACAACCTGGCTCAAGCTATTAATTTACCTCGTCAGCCATACATTAATGATATGAGTGCTCAATTATGCGCAGTGAGCTTTCGTAGCAGACAAAGTGGTTTTACAAATATTACCTTGAAATAGTCTCATATCTGTAATCTCTGTCGTACACCTCTGGGCCCTGACAACCCGGCCTCCCCCGTCAGCATTCACTCCCAGTGCTCTGGAAACCGTCATCGGTGACGTGAGACGCACTCCCTGCAGCCCTCGGCAGCTGAGTACTAACTGGGCTTCTTCACCGACTTTGCTCTTCCTGCCTGGGCTTCCATTGTGTCTTAGCCCGCTTAAGAGTGCATTACCCACCTCACTGGCCCAGTCCTATGGCGTCTTCAGGGATCTTTGCCTTTTTACTTTGCCCATCCATCTCCTGTAATATGAACACTGCTTCAACCCCAGCCCCCAAAGGTACCTTCCACTTCGTTCACGGCCCTGTGATCAATTCCCCGCACAGGTAGATACACCCAAGGTGTCAAAACTGACATATTTCAAGTTTGTTCCTTTTTCTTGACAGTAAAGTCATGTGGGCAAACTTGAGTAGGTCATTCCCTGCCCTCCTCACAACCAACTGTTAACCTGTCTGGGGAATCTTACTCACTAGTAATCTAATCTAATCTCATTCCCCACTGGGCTTTGGTTCCAGCCCAGGACTTTTATAAAAGCTATGTACAAAGCAAAACATCCTGTAATAGCAACAGATCACTTCAGTGCATGACCATCTGTAAACTCAGGGTTTCTACTTCTAAAGGGTGTTTTGTTTACTCTGTCATCTCCAAAATAAAGGCTGCACCATTTCCTACGCAGATAACCTGGAGGTTGTCGACTCTCCCTTTGCTCACGTGAGACAACACAGTCCAACTGGTCTACCATGAACTCTGAAAGAGATGAGGCTTACAAAATGTTTAACATCTACCACACTGACCTCAGGTAGGCATTCCAGAGAGATCATACTTATTATCCTTCACAAATACAACAGCTATTATTCATTGATTTTAACTTCTCTCACCCAGTAACGTGGCTATCTGTGGATGAAATGAACTTGTCTGTTCTCATGTTTCACCGTGACACACTGAGCCCTCCACCTGGGTTCTTCTGCAGTCTCACGTGGGCCAGTGGAAAGAAAATGGCAATGAAAGTCTAGCGGTAAGCACGGCTTTCAGTAGTTTTCCCATTTCTACCTCTGTGCTCTGATAGTCCATCTGAGGCATGGCAGCTCACAGGATCATTTTAAAACATGATATAGGTCTTCAGGCCTTTGCTCCAAACCCTGCGATGACCCCACGACACTCACGTGAACCCAGACTCCTTGGGGCTGTCCACACAGCCCTGCAAGACCTGGTCCCCTCGCTCTTCTGACCTCTTAGCAGAGTTTAGTCCCCTTGCTGATTTCACTCCAGCCCAGTCACTCATTAGCCTCCAGCACCCCAAGCAACTTCCTGCCTGAAGGCTCTTATAAGACGATTCCTTCTGCCTGGAGTGAGTTTCCAGATGCAAAGGCAACTCAACTCTCCGCCCTGCTCCATGCTTTCCTCACACAAGTAACACCCAGGCTGTCCAAGTCGACACCGCCAGCTCATGCACCCCAGATTCTTTTCTATTATTTTTAGAGCATTGGCCACACACTAGCATATTATACAACTCACGCTTTAAAGAATTTAAACCCTACAGGAGTAGTGGCCCTTCTCTGTTTTGTTCAATGACACATTTCGAGTGCCCAAGGACAGACACTACGCGGCACATAGGCTCACATCTGGTGACACCCAGGAATAATAAAACACCCCAGATAGTGTCCTGCCTGTTTTTTGCTGTGTATTCAAATGATACGGAGGAGAGACACAGAAAAACAAAGACGTCACAACGAGGTGGGAGTAGTTGTGTCATATCCACAAGGGACGCTGTGCCTAAGCAGGCCCTCTGCTTCTGGGACTCAGGGTGCCTCAAATCCACTTCTCTGTAAAACAGCAGGCTGAGCTCTTACATTCAAACTTGTAGTTTTAGGGCTCTAGCCAGTGATAGAAACTTATGCAGAAAATAATTCTGATGACCAGACTTACTGACCACATGTTTCTGGTATTTGGACTGATCTCATACCCCTTTATTGACTATTCTTCTCTGCACTGCCAAAGTTGGCTTCATTTCATTAAACTCGGGAAACCAATGAAAAAAAAAGTCAAGGCAGACTCCACCATGGCCTGTGATGCACCCCAGGCCAGGTCTCTCCTTCCAGGGCTGCGGGGATAACAGCTCTACCATTCACACCCCAAGCTCCTCCTGTTTCGTGGCCCAGTGCGTCCTAGGGTCAGGATTCCCATCACACCCACCTCTGGCTGCACCCACTGAATCCCCACCTGGCCTGGGCGCCCGGCACACAGCAGACAGTAGCTTTTTGTTCAATGAAGAACTGAATTGCACTGAAAAGAGATCCAAAACTCAGAGCGGCTTAATTACAGTACGTAATACACCCCCGCTTCCTGAGAACACAGCTTTCGAAACGGCGGAGTGACGGCTCCTGTCTAGTTTGCTCAAAGTGAAAACTGGAGAAACCCAAGTTAATGCTGCTTTCCCATGAGTGGAGAATGGCTTAAACGTTCCACCTCTAGGAAGTAACTTCTTGATTTTTGCTAAGGATTCATTATTAGGAACTCACACAACAAACACTTTTAAGTAGACACTGAGTCCATGAAATCACAGGTTTATAGGAACAGGCAGAACTACAAAGCAGAAGAAAGCCTCTTATTTACAAGGGTGCTGTATGTCATCCACTATTCTAAAGTCCAACCAAAAATGCTACCCTGAGGTCCTTTGGAGCCTTATGATAATATTGTCTTCTCTCAAAAAATGTAGACATTATTCGTGATTCCCTTTATTATATATAATTCATCTTTCTAAAAATATTTGTAATGCCAAGAAAGCATTATTTTTTAGAGGGCTATACGTTTATGTAGAGGAAGAACATTTTTTAATAAAATCACTGCGGCCCTAAGCAGGCCAAAGCAGAAAAATCAGACAAAGGCTGACAATAGCGTTTCCATATAATTCCACTAGATGGCAGCACGCAACTGGACAACCTCCACCGTGCGGGCAAGGGGTGTATTCACTGGGCTAGAACAATAGAAGCCCTTTCATTTTGTGATCTTCCGCTAGCGCTTTGGTAACTCAGTTCACAATTTGTTTTTCTGTATATTTCACTTTGGGAAGCCCAGCTCTTAATATATTCGTACAACAGTTTGTAAGTATTTCAAATCGGATGGTCGATTTTGAAACGTCCTAATTTTCTTCTCTACAGCATAATCCCCCAAATGCTTTTCATCACATTGAAAACCTTTAAATACTTATTAAAGCCCGGGGATGACGCGACGTCCAACGCAAACATTCGCCTGCTCGTCTTGCTGCGCTATTTTCCCCCATAGTACAGATTTTTGAAAAAGACTAGTGGTTCACATGGGGTGTTTTTCACTCTACACGGTCACTGAGTACGCAGTGTGCTCAGTCTTGTGTTGTTATATTCCTTTGTTCCCTGTTAACAAACCACACGCAGAGTCACAACACCTGATCCCTGCCTACGCTGCTCCTTCCTAGGGCTGAAGTGTAACCACTGTGGCTTCTTTAGGCTTAGGAGGAGGTAGAAAGTCATTACGGAAACAATATGAGAATCAGAATAAATAATACATCTTGCACATTTTCTTACGTCATTCGTATTCTTATCTTGCTTTTCATATTTCTCTCGGTCATAGGCCATTTTCTTCAGCAATTTCTTCATAGCCTTTTTATCCTTTTTATGGCTTTCCGTGTTTTGCTTCCTCACTTGGTTAACAATAAACTTGGGAATCTACAGAGAAAAGAAATGAAATCAGGGAAGGAAAGGACAAGGCACTGTTTTAAACTAACAGAAGTAATTATTTCTTAAACTGTGAGGGGAAAAATTTCCCCTTGATGATGCTGTTCTATAAATGTGATTCGTGAGCTATGTGCTCCAAAAGTCATTTGCCCCCCACCCCGGGAGCTTCTGAAAGAGCTCGGCAAGTTTCAAGGCCCCCGTGACCTCTTCTGTGCTGTAGAGGTCAAGACTGGAGACGCCAAGCACAGACCGTGGAGACCACCGCTTTGCAGTCTGGCCCCTTCATGGCCACCTCTACAGCCCCCGTAAGCGCCTACCGTCCCTTTCTGGTAACCGGCCAGGCTCTGCTGTCCGAGGAGAAACACTCACCAGCAGTGAGCCAGAGCCACCAGCTAGACACGAGGCAACAATCCAGGAAGAGTCTACTCTCACAAGGGACCCAGACGACAAATGTTTTAAGATACCAAGAACGTAAAGGAAATAATATGTGCGTGTTAAAAATTAAGATTTAATAACCGGCCAGTGATTTTAAAAACACTGGAAGTCACCTACGTATCAGACACCCTTTATAGCATATTAAATTTAAAAAAACTTTAGAGGACCGGGGATTTAGCTCAGCGGTTCGGTGGCCTGCCTTGCAAGTGTAAGGACCCGAGTTCAATCCCCAGTACTCCCCACCAAAAAAAAAACTTCAGAATCTACACATCATCGCTTCCTTAAATATGTTGTTTCTTCAAATAAGAAATTGAATGTTCAACATTATAATTTGGCGCAGAATTTTATGAGTTCATTTTTCTAAATGTCTATGAAATGCCTAGCATACAAACTATCAATTTGACTGAACAATGAGACCCACATCAAGCTGCTTATCCACATGACCTTCTGACTGCCTGTCAAATCAAGCTCAGAAGAGTAAAAATGGAAGCCATTTGGCCAGGCTTTCTCAACCATCAGGGCACAAAATGTATGCATTCGAATAGCAGGTCATGGAAGAACAGCAGTAAAATTCCTGAGGCCAAGACAGCATAAGCCTTGAAAAAGCCAACACATCGGGCAAGGTGGCACACACCTGTAACACCAACACTAGGGAGGCTGAGGCAGGAGGGTCACCAGCCTCGGCAACATAGTCATATATATAAATAAATTTAAAAAATAATAGGCTTGGAAAACTGACTAAACAGGAAGTGCTCACAAGTACAACTTCATCCACGGCACATTTTCTTGACATGAATTTGAGATTTTAAAATAGAAATCTAAAGGGGCCCCCTTACCTGTGCAAATCAAAAGTCTTTTAATATTTGCTGCATTCACAAAGTTTACATGTAGGTTTATAAAGCTGCAATATATTTTTTAAACCATTAAGTAGGTTAGCTTTTTAATATCAGCTTTATAAAATTATGCTCAAAACGGCTATGATTGTTCCAGAAAGTTATACAGAAATTCTATGTGTGGTCTTGAATGTAGTCGAGATAATAAACTTACTGTCCACAGAAGTTTCTGATACTTAATCAATAAGTGCATGGTATTTGCTGTCCCAGCCGCCATGACAAATTCTCGCTGTTCGCTGGACTTCAAACCCAGTGTGTGACACATAAAGAGGTTTGGGGCCATGACCATCGCCACGTTCATGACTGTCATTTTATTCTTCTCTTTATTATCTATGACTCTTTGGAGAAATTCAAGCAGGGCCTGAAAAAGAGATGACTGAGTCTTGTGTCACATGCAGACATGGGGTCAAAGTACCGCAGCATTCCGGTGTCCGCGTCATCTCAAACGCAGGCTGTGGACAGCCACGTCCGCGGGCCCTGCCTGTCCAGCACGGCGGCGTCTCCGTGTGGGTGATGAACCCCAAAACACAGGGCTGAGCCAGGAGGGAGACACGGACCCCCAAACTCGGGGGACACCTCAGCCGACAGGAGTCACCAAGCACCGAGCAGTGGTTTATAAAGTAACATACATTCACCTGTTCCTGGAAGGACTGTGCTTTGCTCTCTCGAGATTAAAAAAGAGTCTTTAAAGGGGCTCCTTCCCATCAGTGAAGAGCTCAGTGGCTGGGTGGCCCCAAAACCTACCAAGTATGAAAATCATGGTGGGGAGGGAGAGGAAGGAGGAGATCCAAGAGCCGAGAGTCGAGCGGGGCAGCAGCGGTGGGAACCTCAGCTCAGCGTGGGGCCACCCGACTGCACCTTCACGGAAGAAACCCTGCCCCACCAGCCTCTGGGTCGGTGCCCACACCGCCGTGCCCCAGCTCCTCTCCTGTCTTCTCATTTTCGTCCGGGACAGCAGCAGTGTAGGGATTTGATGTTCTCTCTGAAGTGAGGTCAGCTCACTTAACCCTTGCTGTCCTTATTTCCGTTTCACAGATGAGGGACCACACATGGAGGAGCAGGAACTTCACTGCTAATCTATTTGGCTTTTGTTCCTGGACTCTTAACTGCTGAAAGCGTGTTTCATCCTAACATCCATCCCTACTGAAAAAGCGTCTACACCAAAATGGAAAAGAAGAAAATGCATCTACAAGAATTCAGAGTTGTTTTTTTTTTTTAAAAAAAAAAGAAGTTCATGCCTGGCATGGTGGTGCGCACCTATAATCCCAGCACTCAGGAGGCTGAGGCAGAAGGATCGCTGTGAGTTCAAGACCAGCTTGGCCTATATAGTGAGTTCCAGGGCAGTCTCAACTACATAGTGAGACTGTCTCAAAAAACCAAAAAAATAGAAAGAAAGAAAGAAAGAGAGAGAGAGAGAGAGAGAGAAAGAAAGAGAACAGAGAGAGAGAGAAATTCCTCTAAGTGCTCCCAAGTTGATGTTTAATCAAGTTTAACTGCTAGGTAGACCTCAAAAATTTAAAACCAACACCCAACTTTAGTATCTAACCCTAAGATTTATCTACCTAATTTCTGATAGTGCAATCAGAAAGTCAAATTGGAATCTAAGCATAATGTTACATAGGAACAACAAGTCCCCCAGTGAAGACAAAAGATTAATTGCAGTTTGGAAAAAAAATTATTTAATTTTGTTCCACAGAGACCACAATAATTATTCAGGGACCAGCGCTTCATTTTCTTTATGAGTGTAAATGAGAGAGATTAAGCAACTTTTTAAGTTGTGTGGTGCATAAACAATAATATTATTCCAAATACTTCCGCCAGAATACTAGCAAGAGACAAGGAAGGAGGAGGGTGCATTATGGGAAGAAAGAAAGGGAGGAGCAGAAGGCGGAGAGAAGACAAGATGTGACATTGGTAACTTAGCCTTGCCCTTGCCGAAAATCCTGCAGTCAATTCTTTTCACCTAAATTATAAGAAATCCCTTTATAATATTTACTGCCAGAAGTGGGGGACATACCTGTAGTCTCAGCACTAGGCAGGCCGAGGCAGAAGAGTGCCTCTAGTTCAAAGCCAGCCTGCACTGCACGGACAGGCTCTGTCTCAAATCGAACAAAACAAGAATTTACGAGGAGCCTGGTGTTCCGGAATCCAATTCCCAAGTTGGAGTCAGCATAGTTGTTAAGCTGTGTGATCCTCAGATAAGCATTTTTTTTTTTTTTTTTTTGTGTTGGGGTTGAACT